TTTACTCATTTAATTATTTTTAAATTTTTTCCTGATTTTATAAAAACATAAACCTAAGCTGATATTATTTTATTAATAAATTACTTACTACCTCCTGTCCTTAATATAAGATATTGTTTGATTTTTATTTTGGTCTTAAATATAAGACCTCAGTTCATTTTGTCTCTTATATTTATATATTTTTTTCTTAAGATAGTCTTTCTAATAATAATAGTTCTAGCCAATACACTTAATTAGTAAGGATATTTTAGAAAAGATAATACTTATTTATTATAAATAACTAACTTAATTTTTTTAATCTCTTTAAATTAGTCAACTAGTTCTTATAAATACGGCAGAGGTAATATTAGCCTTATCTTGGTGCTCCTCTGCTCATTTCATTCGTTCGCGCTCTCTCTCTCTCTCTTCATTGAGCACGGTGTCGTTTTGTGGGCAGCGGGCGGGCAGCAGATGAGAGAGTAGTGCAGAGAGGCTGAATCCCATTGGGTTTGAAGTGGGAATTCCTGAGCCCTTTATCCTGACGTAGAGCCGGGAAAACGGGTCGAACCCGTCAGGTCAGCCCGTTTAGACCCTGAAATTATGAGGGCCGGACTTGATATTTTTCCTTCAAATGGGAAATAAGCCCTGGAGGGCTGGTCCTGGAGGGCCGAGGGCTTAAAAGGGCTGGCCTTGGAGGGCCACGGGCCGGCCCTTTTAAGCCCTTTTATAATTTTTTTGTTTTTTAAATTTTTTTATATAATTATAATATTATTAATATTTTACATTGTTAATAATATTTCAAATATTTAGTTATTATTATCATTTGAAAATTAAATTTAGTGTTAGACAATAATTTATCCAATTAAATGTTTAAAAAATGTGTTAATTTGGAATTTAATAATGATTTGATTTATATTATATGCGTTGATATTTTTAAACTATATATATATATATTTGATAATAGAGTATTTTTATACTTATATAACTTGTGATTCTATAATTTGAATTAGAAATTCATGAGTTTCAACAACAATGTTTCTCACATTAAAGTAAAATAATAGCTAGATTGTACAATTTAAAAGTAAAATTCCTATAAAGAAGAAAAACTTAATATTTTGTTACGAAAGAAAAGCATACTTATGAAGAAGAGTAATTAATTATAGTGATGATAAAGTTTCAAAAGATTAATGATAGTGTTTATTTATTGCACAATTGTACTATAGATAAAACTTTTGGATGTTGTTATCTTGTTAATGAATGTTTTAGATATTCTTGGATGTTGATAGATATTTATATATGATGATATTTTATATTTGTGACTTAATTTTATTCATATTTATGTCTTTTTTAATAATTTCATTGGTTTATTTTTATTTTTTATAAAAGTTATGATAAATATAAAAAATAGTATTTTTTTCTCAAACGGACCAAAAGCCTGCGGGCCGGCCCTGAGCCCTGTGGCTTAAGGGTTGGGCCTAGCAAATTGGGATATTTTGAAACTTAGCCTTGGAGACCGACCCTTTTAAGCTTGTCAGCCCTGAAAGACTGACCCTTTTAAGCTCATCAGCCCTGAAGGATCTGATTCCCACCTCTATCCTGATGACTTAACATAATAAATGCCACCGTCACTATACGCCCCCTGCCACTAGTGCACTACCGTCTACCATCGATATGAGATATCACTACTGGAGTGGAGTCGTTACTGTGGGCCATACCAATACCTCCATGTCCATCTTATCATTATCGTTTCCACTGCCGTGATATCATCAACCTCATCAACATCATTTCACGGGTGCCAAAAATCTAAGGCCATCTCTTATTTAAGATAAGAGTTATTTAAAAATTCAATTTAATTTTAGATATGAAACATTAATTCATTTCGTCTATAGCATTTATCCATTTTACCTATGATGATTACACATGATAGGGACTCTCCAGCAAGAGATAGTTTCAATACACGTAATTAATAAAGATATTTTATAAAAAATAATATCCACGTGTTATAAATAACTAATTTAATTACTTTTTTTAATATCTGTAAATTAGTTATCTAGTTCTTATATTAAGTACAAGAAGTAGTGTGTATATATTCATCATATTACAAAATTATGCTCTTCACTCTTAGATATATGATTTTGATTCACTTTATTTTTCCCTTTTAATTTTTTTTGGTATAATAGAAGGAATATGAGTTACAAATTAACAGCCGGAAAATGTAAATCATGGAAAATTGGTATTAAATTACTAAATGTGACAAAATTTGACAGGAAAATTTAAAAAAAAAGACTATTGAATTTTAAAATTTCAAATCAGAAATTACTACAAAAATGTGTTTTTATTTATTTTTTTGAGTGTAGTCATTTTCTTTATAATTGTAGTAACTAATACTGATTTAAAATTTTAAGATTCAACAGTCATTTTTTTTTGGGATTTTTCTAATTTGATATGTTAAGTTATCATTTTTTTTCATTAAAGAAAAAAAAGGAAGAATAAGTAGTGTTTGAAGTATTAGCTTTGCAAATTGCAAATAAGAAAAATTAGTATTAAAATATGGAAAGTTGTAGAAATTTTTGACAAGAGAAATTTTGATTTTTCATTATAAAAAGTTGTAGAAGATGAATTGCAAGTTAATGTTTAGCAAGTTGTAAATTAAGAAAAAAAATTAATTTTAAGTATAGTTTGCAGCGTAATTATCCGGCGTAGTATTAAATTACTGGGAGTGATAAAAAAATTTTACAAGTTCATATTTTGCAACTTCAAAAAGAGGGATATAAGTTTTAAATAATTATTCGAAAGGAGAGATTTCAGGAATATTAGTACAAATTTGTTGGAAGTGATTAAAAAAAAAAAACGAAACAATTGTTAATGCCAAGAGATTTTTTTGTCCAACCAAAATATAATAGAATTAGACTCAACTTCTGTGACTTAATACTAGTTTTTGTTTATTTGTGGCTTGTTAGGCAATAATTTGTCACTCATATGTGTGTTTCATTATATATATATATATATATATATATATATCTTTTTATAATGGAAACAAATATAAAAATTTAACTAGTGAAATACCTACAGTGTCATTATTTTACAACTTAAATTCCTCTTTTTATAATGAAGAAAATGAAAATTTAAGTTACAACGTTTTTATCATACTTTTGATACATTTTTCTGTTAATTGAAATTTACTGTACCTCAATATGATACTCATATTCTATTTTTAATAATGAAAAATAGAAAACGAAGCGGTTTTTAAAAAGGGACATATGGTCTGGATTTAAATTTTATAACCTTTTGATCCTAAAATAGGACTAGCTTACTTTTAATCTCAAATGTCATTTCCCCTGGGATATTTTTGGGTGGAATAATAATAAGGATGGCTAATAATTCGTAGGGATGTTTACCTATATCCCGTGCATCTTGTCCCTGTCACAATTATTTTGGGACAGGACAATTTTGTTCTGAAAGTTTTCATGACAAGATGAAAATAGAACAGACAAAATTGTTTTGGAGCGGGACGGGTTTCAATATATTATTTTTATTTTTAATTGTGATAAATTTATTTTATTTATCACTGTAACAATATTTTGGTAATAATATTTATCAATTGTTATTTTTTTATTTGTTTACAAGTTGTTTTGTATGGGTTACATGATATTTTTTGTAGTGAAATTTTAAGTTTGTTTATTTTTTTTGTCTCTCAAGTTTTAAAATTTTTTTTTGATTACCATTGTTTCTTTATTTTATCTATTTTCTTCCTATAATTTTTATCATAAGTTCTTATATTTCATTTATAGTTAATTTTCAAATTAAAAAATAAAAATTCAAAAAAGGGGATATCCATGTCCTATTTCAATTACGGCATGTCCCAATTGGGATGGGATGGGATGAGACAAGGGATGAAAAAGCCATCCTGTCTTGATTATGAGACGGGATCGGGACGGGATCGTCCTTATCACATCCTGTCCAATGAATACTCTTAGTATTCGAATCAATGGTCCACTCGTAGTTAAATCATAATCAATTCACTCATAATTAAAATAATATAATTTAATTAAAGTATAAAATATTCATCTATAACTTTGATAAGATTAATATTTAAAAGAAAAACATTAATCCTCTAGTAAATGAAACATAAAACATCTTCATGCATAAACCATACAAAATCCAACCCAGTTAATATATCCCATCCAAAACTAGCTGACCAAACTGATAGGTTTTGATACCTCATTATATGAATTCTCAATGAGACATTTGTTTTTGCGAAGTCGATTACTTTAACTTTCATAGGTCCACTCACATGACCAGGAGAAGGTCATTCGCCGACAATTCAAATATGGAATCTTTGAATTCAGACAAGTGAATGGATTACATTTTTCATTATTAACGACCTTGGGAGGTACTCCAAGCCGCCATACTTGACCTTCAGATCGAATAATGGAGTGAATAACTATGGCCATCCATTGAATTTATCCACTTGAGAGTGGAATTATTGTCATCATCCACTGAATTTCTCTCTCGGAAATTAAAATATATAGATATAACTGATATTTTTTAAAATATTATTTAGTACTCGTCCGTTATTTAATATGGATATAATTAACTAATTTGAGTAGATTAAGAATGAGTTTAGTTTAAAATTAGATAATATGATATATTTTTTCTAAAACATACTAATTATCTTCTTTAATTTCCTCACTCTCTTTCCTACTTGATTTTGTTGAAAGAATATCAATTAGATTAATTTAGAAAAAAAATTAATGAACATATGAAATAAATTTTATATATAGAACTCTTTAATTAGTTTCTATATGAAGTATTGGATGAGTATTAGATTATTCAGTGTCTAAACAGGTAGGACGAAGCCTGCTCATGCCGACAACCTATTGGCTTATTACATTTCATTAGAGTATATTTTTAAAATATTATTTAGGGTATATACAACTTGATAGGACATGAGCTGTTACTTTCAGAGCACTCACATGAGTTTTGACTTGCTGTCCCCTCCAATATCTATTTTCTCGCAGTGCTTGATTTGTATCTGGGGAAATATAGAATGATCTGTGTATGTGTGAATACTCAATACTTGCAGCTTTACTAGTCTGAGATATGCTAAGCATGAGAAAACCTTCTTGCTTTGTTTTCATCTTTTTACTTCATTTCTTGATGATCTCTTTAGCTTGCAGTGGGGATGATATCACCACGGACAAATATGCACTTCTTGCTTTTAAATCCTTCGTTACTTTGGATCCATACAATTTCTTAGCAAGGTGGTCCATCTCTTCTTTCCCCTGCAATTGGATTGGTGTCACTTGCGATGCTCACCATAGAAGGGTCAAATCCTTACATCTTAGTGGTATGAATCTCATAGGTATCATATCTCCACAGCTAGGAAATCTCTCATCTCTTACTGAACTTGATCTTAGTAACAACAATTTTCATGGTCGTATACCGAAAGAACTGCTTCGATTACATAGATTGAAGTTGTTTAACTTGAGCTACAACGACTTTCATGGACAAGTTCCAACATGGATAGGAGCCTTATCTACACTTCAGGACTTGGATCTTTGTAATAACAGTTTTAGTGGATTTATTCCAACATCTTTATCTAATCTATCAAGGCTGGAGACTTTGGATTGGAATTTTAATTTCATTGAAGGGACCATTCCATCCGAAATCGGAAGTCTAAAGCATTTGAAGATTTTACGGCTTTCAAAGAACAAGCTTTCTGGAGCAATTCCTCAAACAATTTCCAACTTATCTTCTCTTGAAAGATTGAGTTTGTCTTATAACACTTTATCAGGTATTTCTTTGATGATTTGTGGAATCTTTATTTGCTCTTTCTAAGGACAAATAACCTGCTTTGTTATTGATATTGATGACTCTCTTTTTTCCTCATCAATTATATTATTTCAAGGAGGCCTTCCAAGGGAGATTGGTAATCTTCAACAGCTACAGATAATATATCTTTCAAATAATCAGTTTTCTAACTCTATACCAGCTTCCATATTTAATAATTCAATGATGCAGTACATTGAACTTAGCAACAATAACTTCTCTGGTAGCCTCCCAACAAATGTATGTTTTGGGCTTCCGAATCTTGCGAGACTTTATGCAAATGAAAATGATTTGTCTGGTCCAATACCTTCTATCTGGCATCAATGCAAAGAATTGCTAGAGTTAGATCTAAGCAATAACAGATTCAAGGGAGGAATCATCCCAATCGACATTGGAAATTTGACCAACCTCCAATTCTTATATCTGAGCAACAACAGCTTGCAAGGTAAGAGGTTTAATTATATCCATACGTAATTATTCTTATGTGTTTAGTAATATCTAGTTGGATTTCTTTTAATAATGTCATGGAACATGACATCAGAAACAAACCATCTCGCAAGCAAGCTGAGTGCACAATATATATATATAAATATATATATATATATATATGTGTGTGTGGTGTGTGTGTGGCATTGCATCCACACTCTCTCTCTCACACAGAGACTTATACATGCATACATACATGTATACAAACATACTACATGCATGCATAGAGTACTAAAAGAATGGAATTATTTAATATGATTGCATAAAGCTTTCTTGCTTCATTATGTAATTTTATCTCATTTTTACTCTTCGTCCCAAGACACCTCATGATCAATTTAACATCAGCCATGAATGTAATAGAGCCTTAATTAATGTAAAGTATTGATTATTTATTGGGAGTATAAAATCCCAATAATAATTAAGCAGCCTTAATGACAAGTTCTAAAGTAAGAACTAAGTCACTAACAACTTCTAATATGTTATTGGGACTTTATAATTATATGGTGGTAGTTATATTTTTTTAGGGGACTTCCTTGTAATTCTCCCATTATTTATGTGCTCATTTTAAATTTTAAACAGGTGAAATTCCATTGTCTCTTTCAATATTTCTTCATTGAGGGAAATAAGTCTAGGTCGAAACAATCTACAAGGTAATATTCCAATACCAATTGGCAATTGGGCGTTACTCGAAAGATTAGATCTCAGTTACAACTCCCTTACAGGTATGTGTGGAATTTTATGCTTAAAATTCTATTTATTACATGCCTATCTTGAATAATTGATACTGAAACCCATGCTTAATGAGCATGGTTTGGATTATTGTCATTATATTACTGATTATAATTTTGCTCATTTTTTATTTTCAACAGGCGAAATTCCAACATCTCTCTTCAACATTTCTTCATTAACGGTAGTGTATTTAACAAGCAACAATCTAAAAGGTAGACTACCATCATCAATCGGCAATTGCACGTTGCTGGAATATTTATATCTAGAAGAAAACTCCTTAACAGGTATATGCTCAATCGTCTGAGCCATTAATTTTATTTAACAAAGTTCCATTTATCATCTATAATTGAAAACACTTGAATTACCTAAATAAAAATAAAAATTATTTTACACTTAGATCATGTAGGCAGAATCAGTTTTCTGTAGACAATAATAACTTTGAACGTTTAATTGAAGAAAAGAAGCTGCACAGTGCAGCGATTCTTTTGAAAAATGCAAGAGGCATGTGTTGATTATATTATTAAGAGAACTTGTTCTAAAATTATAGGCTTA